ATATAAATTCTATTTCCAAGTTTAAGCGTGTAATAAATAAGGCTCCAGCCCTGCGAAACGGTGCCGTTTTACTAGTTTACATAGTAAGTTAATGTAAATTACTGTAAATTGTTAAGTAATAGTAATTCAAGTGTAAGTTACAGTGCCTTACATGTAAGTTAACAGCCCTAGTTTAAATTTCCGAACTTTCGGCTCAGATTTTCGGAATTAAATTGCCGAAAATATGCGTTATGATAATTATTGGGCTACATTAGGCATATGCACCATATGTATTCTTGGCATAATAAATTGAATGAAAACCTTTCTTTGCATATAAAGTAAATTTCTTTTCTTGGCACATAAAATGACCGATTAATTTATTCTCCTTTTCCCTATCCTACGCATTTACTCCTTTTCATTCAATATTACAGTATAAATTAATTAATTACCTTCATTGGCTGAAAAATTTTTTGCTGGAAAAAAATGGATATATTTATAGCTTTAAATTCCTCCGGTAAAAAAAATAAACATTTTCGCTAATGCTTTGTTTTCGGTCATTTATCATGGTTTCAATTTCACTCTTCATCTTGGGGGCCTTAATCTCTACTGTTATTTCTCAAGAATGTGTACCGTACACATCTTCATATGATTTTACTGGATATCCAGAAATTTGGGAAAAACCTAATAGTACCCTTTTTAATTCAGCTGAGTTTAAGCAGATTAATAGCACAATTGATTGGTCAAAAGTACCTAAAGTTACACCTCACACGCTGTCAAGTAGCGGGGATATAGATCAGACTGGTTATAGTTCTAGTGACCCGGATTGTTGGTGGTCATATAATTTGTGCACAACACCCAAAGCACATGGACTTCAACCTGATGCTACCATATGTCCTGAACCTGGTGAGAATTTATTTGTATTAATGCGTTAAAATTTTCGGATTGACTATATGTATGTTGCTAATGTTCGATTATTCATTCTTAAGGTGCCTGGGGCTTGACATACGATGATGGTCCAAACTGCTCTCATACTGTGTTTTATGACTTCCTTAAGGAAAATAATCAAAAAGCGACTTTGTTTTATATTGGATCTAATGTTGCTCAATTGCCCAATGAAGCTCAGCGTGGTCTTGCGGATGGTCATCATATTTGCGTTCATACGTGGTCTCATCAATATATGACTACACTTACCAACGATGAGGCGCTCGCGGAATTGTACTATGCTAGGAAGGCTATTAAATATGTTATGGGCATAACGCCTCTTTGTTGGCGTCCTGTAAGCAATATTTTCATTATATAAAATTATAAATTAAGAAACAGACTTACATCTTTTTGTTTTATTTTCTTCATTGACAGCCTTTTGGTGACGTTGATGATCGAATTCGTGCGATTGCTACACAACTCAACATGTCAACTATTATCTGGGATCTTGGTAAGTAGCCATCCGAATGTTAACCAACTTAGAATTTGTTCAAACATAACCTAATTATAACATTTACAGATACCAATGATTGGAATGAGGCACCTGACGGCACTGAAACGTCAGCTCAAGTTGATACTACTTTCCAAGGCTTTGTTAATATGGGTCTAAATGGTACCTACAATAATTCTGGCACCATCGTTTTGGAGCATGAGTTAGACAATAACACTATGTCCAAAGCTATTGAATGGTACCCAAAGATCAAGGCCGCATATAAATATCTTGTTCCTATCGCTTCATGCTTAAATATCACTCAGCCATATGCTGAAGCAAACTTCACCTATCCATCATTTGCAGAATACATTAGCAATGGTAGTTCGACTACTCCTACTGCTACGCAAGATACTCCTCCGCCTACTGCTGCTTCGACTAATAATCCAACAAATTATGCTCAGAATAATGTTGCAACTAATAGTCCGAACCCGAGTGCAAAATCAACATCCACTCCAATAACAAGTTATAACAGCTTAATTTCAATGGTGATCACCATACTAATAGCACAGCTATTTGGCATTTTTTATTTAACATAAACCTGGGATCAGTTTACTATATTTATATCAATTCGAATTCGATGAGATAATAACATTATAAGACATTTATATCTTGTCCTTTTTTATTATAGCGTTATTGATATTTATTTATTGATTCATCTGTTTATCTATTTTGTGCTTTGGTATTTACGTTATATACATTTTTTGGTATTCTAATCTTTTGGCATTTTTTGATAATTTTTGTTTTAGACATTTTTTTCATAGAATACTAATGTTCAGTACATCCTTATGGACGTGCTTTAATATACAAAATGGGTCAGAATCTTAATGTGAAAATCTTCTAAGTTGTTACGAGTATGTTATATAATTCAATAAGTTTATAGATTCATAAACAATATTTGTACGTGTGATAAATGGGATAATTTATCAGAAGTAGGGTTTTATTAATTGTCATGCAAAAAAGAGGATCCATATAAACGATCCAAATTGTCAAATGTAATTATTAGGGGGTTTCAAAGTTAAAATGCGGGAATCTAATTTTAATTGAAATTGATAACGTATTTATTTTGAAATAAACGATCTAACAATCCGATCTTATTTTCAATTAAATTTCGAATACGCTTATTTGTATT